GGAACTGTTTGGTAACTGTTTCTGTAATACCACCAAGATATGGCCTTTCATTATGTATGCCTCTGGTAGCAAAGAAAGAGACAAATCCTGAAAAGTCTTTGCTAACGTGTAAAATGTCTCAATTCAGTTGACTTTCAAACAAAGGATTTGTTATTTTTCCTTTGGTTTCCTAATTTTATTTGCTTCCAAATTCAGTTCTTGTCTGTTCTGTCACACTGAATTCAGACTGCCATCTTCAGACAAGCAGCACAGGGTGGCATTTGTGATGAATCCAGTACAGTTTTCTACTTCGTAAGCCTGCATGCTTGGCTTAAGAGGGTGAGCTGGAAGACACCTGAGATGTTCATGGCTAGCTCCAAACCAGGAGCAGGAAATTTTCATTAAACTATATTTTTACAGACAGGTGACAAATAATGCTGAGATCTTAATCCTTGCCTTTGTGAAAACAGTGATCTAGAAAGTATCATCTAAATTAAGTTTAAAGTATGTATTATATCAACTGACTTCATTGTAAATCTGAGTATTCTTCCTCTGAAAAAAATAAGATCATATTAAGGAAATCCTACTTTCTGCTGACTTCAGAAGTTTATTGTACATAAAACACTAAAGTCTGCAAAAAGAAGAGCAGAGAGACCCAAATTAAAGGATGCTTTGCAAATGTGGATTTAGCCCCCAACCCAAGATGAGCTATATATCTCCCGATTTCTGTGAAGGTTTTCTTTTGGTCTGAAAAAGAAAAAGTTGCAAAATTACACAAGTTTTAAAATGGCATTACATAGGGAAGCTCACATTCTTGAGAGTTAAATTTTGGGTAGTGTAACCATATGCAGTACAACAGGACTACACTAAAAAGCCTGGATTGCTCCAAAATGTAATGTGATCATGCAGCGGAAAGTAGAGCTACTTCAACTACAACTCTAGTTCCCATGTCTTGTCCCTGTAGCAAACACAGCCACCAATAAACAAGTACACAAAAGGTATGAGTTCAGCTAATGCACCAGAGAAGAGAGCTGAATATGAAGGAGGCAGGAGGATAAAGTGGAAAGGGAAATAAAGAGCATCCTTTTTGTGCTTCCATAAATTACGCTTTCACTCTTTAGAGCAATGAGAGGAGGACATGAGATTCTCTGAAGCACAGCGCCTTCCAGTTATTCCTCTTCTGCTCTCCATTGTCTCGAACTGACTGTAGAGGTTCAGTATCACCCTACATGACTTTTCTTTCTCCCTCTTCTCCCAGTAAAACTGAATAAACAGGAAAAAAATTGCAAAGCCTCTAGAATAAACAGTAAATGTAAATGTGGAAGTTCAGATTTGGTACAGTTTTTATAAACATTGCTACTTTGCATATTTAGCCCTTGGCCTTGTCCACATAGAAGACTTCCATCGATATTACTAAGGTTTGGTCTATAAGTGTAATTCAGCTGTTAGCTATAGGTGTGTGTTGGGGTTTTTTGTTTGTTTCTTTAGCAATTTCTTATCTGGCTTTCTAGATACATTGGTATCTGTCTTCTGATTGCCAAGTAGGGCTTTGAACCAAATTCTGTCATTCATATAAATGCATTGTAATGCAGTCCCCATTGGTTAAGACAGTGCAAACAGCTAATTGTTTAGCAAAAGCCGGTCGGGCTAAAGCCTGATCTTTCACACATCACTGGCTTTCTACTCGCTTACTGCAAAGGTGATTCAGCCACATCTTTGGCAGGGTTAATTTTCCATTTGGAGTGCTTTTTGTTCAAAGAACCTTGATGTTGCATTAATCTTGGTTTGTGATATTTAAAAATATATACTAAGTTTGCCAATTGTGTATTTAAAAAGAAAAAAAAGCAGACCACTTTTATTCGGTGACATTGCAAATATCTCATTGTATTAACAAGACTTCAAAATGGTGCCCCATAAAGTTTGTGGCATGTTATAAAAGAAAGAAGAGAAAGAAAGAAAAGGTCTTTCTGATGGTGGGAATCAAATTTCAGCTTGATAAAAACGTCCATGCCACAGTTTGAAATACAAGTTACACTGGCATTAATGTGTAAGTAAGAGGTGTATGACTGTGGTGAAGGAAAAGGGTTGCTCTCTTTCATTCCTTCAGTCCCCTAATTCCCTTTGCCCCATTTTACTTATCTTCTCTCAGCACTTCCCCTGCATTATTGTTTCAGTTTTGAAAGCGGCATGCTATAAAAGCTCACCCCAACTGAAAAGATGTCTGTATACATACAGTGCACAGTGCTACCCTACTCTGTTACTGCTAGAGCAGAAAGGGAGAAGGCCTCCTCTTTCTGCCAGACCTAATCTGAGTTCTCCTGATACACGCTGCCAGACAAGCCCAGAGATTTTCAGACTTCATCACGTATAAACAGTTATTAAAACCAAAGTAAAATAAAAAGGTAACAGCAGGCGTTCCTGCAATAGTCTCAAAAAAAAAACCAAAAACCCAACAAAACCAAAAACCAACCCTGAAACCAAACATGCAGTATATTGTGCTTGATCAATTCCCCCTTTGTAGATGGGCTCGCACAGATTTAGTGAGTCTCTGATTCAATCCTGGACAACCTGCGACCTCTTTTGGTCAATTAACAAAATGAGCAAGAGGACAAAAGAAGGCTGAAAAGCCTTGGTGCAGTCACCCATCGGGGCATTAAGCAAGGCAAGGCTGATCTCTCTTCCAACACATCTTTAATTCTAATTTCCCGAGGACAAGTCTCTATCTTCTCTTACACCATATTCTTCACACATAAAATCAGATATTTTTTATCCTGCTATGTATGGTGCCCCTTTCAAGATGGTATCTGAAAGGTATCATTACTGAATAAAGAACAGAGAAAAACTGAATAGTTGATTCTAATTATCTAAAAAAGATCTGATTTGCAAAAAGTGCGTTTTTCGAGATTTGCAGTATCATGGCCAGTACCTTGAGCAATAACGTATATACTCCACTCTTCCGCTTGAATTTAGACAGATGAACAGCTGATGAATTACTGGAAGGTGAGCTTCAGTGTTAATGATGAAGGGGTTGAAAACAGAGCAGTCGCCTGGCTCTTATCATTCCCATGGCAGAATATATTTGTATAAGACAATATCTGCGAGCATTGTTGGTTTTGTGTTGCGCGAGGAGCAGGCTCCTATGGCTGAAACACCATATGTATGTCTACGTATACACCTTCCACGTCAGCTCGCAGGAGAGCTTCAGAAAGGATGGTCACAAATTTTGGCATTGCCAATTCAGATTTTCTCCATCTAAGTGAAGCCAAGTTAACAGGGGGAGCGAAATAAGCCAAGCAGAATGGGGGCAGAATTTGCAGTGATTACAAACAGAACGCAAACACACGCATTGTGCAAAATCGACGTTGGGTTTCGCTGGTGGGGTTTTTTGGGTTTGGTTTTTTTTTTTTTTCCTAGATTTGTGAGGATGTTGCGATGGAAACCGTATTCTTATGGACAGAGGGGAAAGTTTCAAGAGTTCAGAAAACAGTTTAGAGAGGTGTTCAGGGGAGACACACCCACGAGGCCGGGGCACCGCGTGGACCGAGTCCCGCCCGGGAGAGCAACATTTGTGCAAAGCGTGTGCGTGCGCCTGCGTACGCGCAGACGGCTTCCCCCTCACCTTGCCAGGAGAGGCGGTGGCCGCGCGAGCGGCGGCCCGGTCTCAACGTATGCCCCGGGCCGGGGCGCCGCCCCGCCTGTGCCGGCCTGAGCGGAGGCACGCCCCCGCCACGGCCGGGGCCCTCCGGCGG